AGAACACAATAAACACCATTCAGCTGCATTAGCTTTATAAGGCTATACTCGCCACAGTGATTTCATTATACAAAGGGCGCAATCAATACAATACAAATAAAATACTTCTACGTGGCTGAATCTAATTGGTGTAATTAATTAAATAAAAAGTCAATGTTGTGAGATAGTTAATTTACGTTAAATGTCAACGGGTAAAATTTGCATTACTTTTTAAAAATAGGTAGGAATTTTTTATTGTTTGGGAAAATAAATGTTCAATTAGTTATTAAATAAAGTAAACATTTAGATTAGTACTTTAACATGGCGTCTATTTACAGCAATACACACACGTTCATGTGTTAACATATAAAGCGTCCATTTGTATGTGTACATAAACATACCGTTTATTTACCTCTCATTTACACAGGTGACACCTACTTAGCGCCCATTTACAAATGTGCACAAGCACACCATGGGACGGGGTGGTCTAGCGGTAAAGAGCTGGACTGCTAACCCGTAAGTCTCGAGTTTGAATCCGGGTTCAAGTCAGTAGACCGTCCCTGAGTCCACCCAACTCTGATGGGTAACTAAACTCACGTTAGGGAAAGTAAAGGTGGCTGGGCATAGTGCTGACCACACTATCTCTACATATGCCGAGGTCTCAGAAACAAGTGAACTCTACTTCACTTGCCCCATAGACCGTCAGGTTTGAAAGGGAAACTTTTTACAAACACACTATACATTTACACTTCGGCTCAAATGCACCATCAATCTACACATACATATTTCCCATTTACATACCTACACATATTTTTACACATTTACACATACGTACCATTCATTTCACCAACAGAACAGTCCATTTACAAGTGTAAGATTCGCTCTCTTGTAAGCAAACAATTGTTAACTGACCATAAAGTCCATCCCTCCCTCACTCTCACACCTCCCTATCCCTAACACCTCCCTCACACCTCCCTCATACCTCCCTCACATCTGCTTCACTCCCACACCTCCCTTACCCACACACCTCCATCCATTTATCATTACCTCCCTCCACAAATTTCTTCATCAACGTCTTATCCTTGTGCTCAACCTCTCCCAAACCAACGAGCCCACACCATATATCGATGAACTGACACCAAAATTACATGTGCTATGTAGCGATTCATTAGCCCCTACACGCATAGCATATCTCCGTTACAAACTTGGTCTAAGGATCTTTTAATATGCGCGTTTACACATTATGTTTCTGCAAATTTCGTTCATGAAAAGTTCACAAATTAACTGGTTTGTCACAGAAAACTGGTACTTTTCCGTTATAAGGTACCAGAGGCGTAGCGACCCTTCCCGGCGCCCGGGGACAAACTTTCAATTTGGCGCCCCCCTCGGGAGCAGATTTTCAATTTGCACCCCCTCAAACTTTCGATTTGCATCCCCCTCCCCCCCTTCAAACTTTTTATAATGCAAAAATGCAGCTAAAATGGCATTTTAATTTGTTTTTACAACCCATTTTGGCGCCCCTAAGGTCGGCGCCCGGGGACATGTACACCTGCCCCCCCCCCCCCCCATCGCTACGCCTCTGTAAGGTACCATGTGGGTACTGACATGTGAATACACTTATTTAACATTATAAATTTAACAGTTATTGGATAAGATATCTGCGGACTATATCTTACCTGGACTAAGTTATACCAAAAAGATGAAGTCCATCTTCTATACTTCCCGCGTTAGTATCTGTTGCTTATTCGTGCTGAATGGAGCCTAAGACCACTACTTACTCGATAATTTGAATCGAATTCGAGAATTTCGGGTTAATAATATTCCAGTATTACTGCCCACTACGTTAGCCTAACATTTATTTTAAGTTGGGTAAATTTGTTCCTAAAATGTGTTCTTTAAAAAATAAATATCCACCATTTTTGCCATCCATTTTGGTCAAACACTTGCGATTGTATACTTTACGTCCTAGACAAAACCTAGCATAAGTATACACGTCCGTCGGCAAAATATTTTCAAACATAAACTTGTTGCGAGTTTTCGTTTTCAAGACATGTATACTATACATGTAGCAAGTGTAAACGTGACATTACAATGTGTATTCTGTGTATTAGGATTTGGTCATCAATTCTAATCACCCAATTGGTCTAGCACTTTGTATCAACTTTATTATCAAGTTTCAACTGCTACCCCGAGAGTCTGGGCATAGTGCTGACCACACTATCACTTCATATGCCGAGGTCAATGAATCAGATGATTTCTACTTCATCTGCTACATGTGTCTTGGGCACGAACGGGATTAAGAAGAAGAAGATTTAAATCCAGCACTTGAGTTCAACATTTTGGCCTTCAATTTTGGTCAAACATATCGAATCAATATTTCGGCCACCAATCTTCGCCCAACATTTTAGACCAAGATTTAAGCCATCAATTTTTATTCCGACATTTTTGACCAAGATATCGGCCATCAATTTCTGTCGGCCATTTTGTTCCAACAATCCCGCTGTCCAACGTAGGGACCCACACACCCAACATCCGTCTCTACAGGATTACCAATGTTGGCGTTGGATGCAGACTAAATAATCATTTCTGCGATTACAAAATATCGATTCCTAGTGAATCTCCGGTTATGAAAGAAAAACAATTCTAAAGCCAGCAAACGGCTTTTTATGGTCTTCTCAATGTCCAGTCCCACGTGATCGCATAATTGATTGCCTTGAAAAAACAATTCCAACAAGTTGTCCACACCCCTCCCGTCAAAATACGTTTTTTTTTAAACAAAATTTTACTTAGGTCTCAATGTCTGTCTGTTTGTGGGTTTGTGGCAAAGTCTTATCTCAAGTTTGAAACATTTCTTAAGTAGCAATTTATTCTTTCCTATTTCATTTTCAAACGAATAGCTACTTTCAATCTAGTTAGACGTTAAATTAACTATTACAATTAACATAAAGAGAACTACATTCAATACCAGATGAGGATATAAATAACACAATTGAGCTGTTATTCATTATGAGCCGACCCGCGGTGTATCATACGCCGCTATTTAGTTGTTGTTTTTTCTACTTTTCAGTAATTCATAATTTGTGAATTCGACAGTACCAATGCTGCCACTGAAGATATTTGCTTTAATACACTAAACCCCCCTTCATCCCCCCCCCCCACGTGAAAGCAGCCTCCTCTTAGTTACCTCCTCTAAGTTTAAAATCGTTTCAAACTAAATTATCTGCCCCTAATAGCCGTCACCAAACCCGGCTCTACGAATGTAAACATTTAGCGTGAACCACAGCTCACCAGACCATGTGAGGGGGGTGGGGTGGTAGCGATAGAGAGGAAGAGAGGGGACTGTAAGGCGCGCTTGCAGCTTGTTTTCTAACGTCTCCCAGAAGAGAATTATATATATAGATCTTTTCTCATACGAGAGCCGCCCACAGACGTTTATTAAGGGAAGATAATTTTCATTTACATTTAAGTAGCGAGTTATAGATCTTGTTTTAAGCTAAATTTTTAGTCGCCTAAGCTGTCGATTTAATTAAGAAAAAACTAAATACAATGCTGATTGTTTTCAGATGTTATCTGCCATGTTACTTAAAAAAAAACCTAGTTTAAAAAAGTGGGAAATAACACAAGTATAAAAATCTTCACACTAACAAGCTTTTAAATGCCGCGAAACCACGGCAAGATCATGATAGTAACGCATGGACATTGAATCTAGAGAAGACAGAAAAACCTCGGTTAAATTACCTTTTTTAAACGCACATATTTTTAAAGCACAAACAAGTTAATTAAAAAGTCTAGTGACATGTATGCGCAATTTCCTTATGTTATCTAAAAATAGCTCTGACGTATAATGCTGGGATGCGTTCAAGCTAGAAGAACGATCGGTTTGTAGGTGTTTATGTAATTTTAAAATTTGTGACTAAACGAGAGGATATTTTTGAAAACTTTCTTCGGCAATATTGTTCTAAATTATGGCAGGAATCGATTGGTACATGTTTCAAGTCGCTAAGTGGTCTGGTTGCCGAGATATGGGCCAAAAACTGCATTTTTTCGAGGTTTTTTGGCTTTTCCGGGAAATACATGAAAGAAACCCGGAATTTTTATGGCCTATGCTCATTCTCGTAACTTGCTTAACATAATTGCTTTGGAACTAGTCATCGATATTGCTTCGTTGAGGAGGAGATACGACTTAAAGCCCGGACACACATTCATCCATACATTCATTCATCCATCCATCCATTCCCAGAAATGACGCGTTAATAAACGCAATTCTCCAGAATGGAAATTGCGCTAAAAAAACAACACAACAACAAAGACAAACGGGTTATAGTACATCGTTTCAGTCTACACTTTACAGGGTGTAAAGTTCCCATAAAAATAAAAATAAAATATCTAGAATACTGAAATGAATTTTCAGTAAAATCAAACTAGTTACCACAAATCACTAACCGCAGTCATATTGTAAATCGTGAGAAGGGAGATGTTTTAGGCTGAGAGGGGACTCCGAACAGTCTACCCCCCCCCCACATCGAACGAAATGGAATTTATATAAACAATATATACTTTTAACAGTGTCCGCCCCCCCCCCCCCAGAACAGAAAATTTCAAGTGACCCCGGAAAAAAAAGTCTGGTAGAAACACTGGTGAGGTGGGGGTATGGGTAAAGGTAGGGATGAGGGAACAGTATAACACGACAAAACCATTTGTCCACGGTCGTCATATGACTTGACAGCTCGTGACGAAACGGATTGGTCAGCGATACCATCTTAGTTTGGAGTAGCGGCACCGATACTGTCATGGTATTAATTAAAGAAGGTATCGAGCCCGTTATAGTATTGGTAAAGGAGGCATCGATACCGTCATATCATTAATTAAACAAAAATCTTCCTACATTTTTCTTCTAAACAATGAAAAAACTATAAGGACGACAGACACATGACTAGAGAAGAAGACAGACAAGTACTGTACTCATTGTTACACAGGACTAGAGTAGAAGAGACAAGAACGACAACTGGTGCTGTACTCACTGTGTACGGTTAGGTAAACCCAGGAATAATCGGAGGGTAATCTTTTCTTGTCGTCTCTCTCAACAGTGAAGTACACCTCACAGGAGTACCAGCCCTCGTCACTGCTCTCAATATGTGATATCTGAAACAAGAGGACGATGATTATGTCAAATATGAAACAAGAGGACACCCAATCCTATCAACCAACCAGCACCCAACCCACCATCTTATTTAGCAACCCACCAACAATCACCAACCATCTTCCCGTCAACACATCAAGCCACCAAGGCACCAACCCCACAACCAACCGATCCACCGCTCATCAACATACCAACCCATCAACCATCAATCAACAAAGACACAACCCACCGACCAGCAACCCATAAACTAATCAACCAACCAGCTGCCAACCCACCAACCAACCTATCAACCAACCAGCTGCCAACCCACCAACCAACCTATCAACCAACCAGCCGCCAACCAATCAACCAATCAGCCACCAACCCATCCACCAACCCATCTACCAACCCATCTATCAACCCATCTACCGACCCATCTACCAACCCATCTACCAACCTGCCACCAACCCATCAACCAACCCATCTACCAACCAGCCACCAACCCATCTACCGACCCATCTACCAACCCATCTACCAACCCATCTACCAACCCATCTACCAACCAGCCGCCAACCCACCTGTAGCGAGGCCTTGTTGACCACATCCAACCTGTCCTTGTATCCCTCCATGACCGCCGGGTTGTTGTAGCCTTCAAACTTGACCAGCAGCGAGTCCCTGGGGGGGGGGGGAGAGATATACACACATCATAAGAGACATCATCACATAACAAATACTTGAGAAACATCATGATATCGATATCATGAGGGGAAGTACACACATCATGAGAGACATCAAATACTCGAGAAACATCGAGATATCGACATCATATTAATGATATCATGTGGAACATCATACTATCGATACCAAATTAGTGATATTTTTTTAAACATCATAAAACTTACTACTACATGAAATATCATAGGAATAACATTAGGTAGAACATTATAACAGCGACATCACGTAAGTCTTCATAAGCGTGACATCAAAACATAAAAACATCATGAGAATCACCATAAAAGAAATATCACAAGAAATATTATAATAGTGACACCCAACCTACCCATTTCTACTTCGTCTTATATAGGGACTTTGGGAATACCCGGAAGACACATGCCTAAATGTGGTTTGACCAAAGGCCGTTTCCTAATTGGGCGTTCGCCCAAATGCGACAAATGCCTAAATGGACATTAGCCCCATATGCGACAAACCCGAATTAATGTCTGCCCCTTTTTTCAAAAACACATCTGTCTTTTCATCAACAACGCAGAAAAAAAATTAGAATCAGTACTTTTAAAACTTGGCCTTGAAGCATTGAAAAATAAAGTCACCCTTCAAAACACCATAAAACGTCAGGGGAGGTAATCGACGCAGCGTTATCAAGCTAAGATCAATAACTCATTTGACACGGCGTAGATTAACTATATCAAGTTCAGTTACTAGTCATTTGCCCGTCTTAACGCGAGATATAAGACGGGCCATTTTAACGCACCGTCACTTGCTCGTCAATCGATGGCTAGCAGGAAGATGTCGGGATGTTATATGCTGCTCATGATGGCGTGCCTCAGACAGATACGTCTACATGTATTGTCAAATATTTTTCATAACCAGCCACTCATAAAAGATGTAAGAGTTTAAACGCATTACATAAAAAAGTAAAAAAAAAATAAAAATCACAAAAAAAGAAAATTGAAAATAATATATAATTAAATGAACCACTAATAAGGAAAATAAAGGGTGATGAACGAATTAATTTAATGTCGTTTATTATTTCTCGTCACTACTGCTGGAGTATGGGCTACCAACCACAGCTCTTCAGAGTTCTCTGTCCTGCTGGAGTATGGGCCGCCAACTGCAGCTCTCCAGAGTTCTCTGTCCTGATGGAGTATGGGCCACCAAGTACAGCTCTCCAGAGTTCTCTGTCCTGCTGGAGTATGGGCCACCAAGTACAGCTCTCCAGAGTTCTCTGTCCTGCTGGAGTATGGGCCACCTACTACAGCTCTCCAGAGTTCTCTGTCCTGCTGGAGTATGGGCCGCCAACTGCAGCTCTCCAGAGTTCTCTGTCCTGATGGAGTATGGGCCACCAAGTACAGCTCTCCAGAGTTCTCTGTCCTGCTGGAGTATGGGCCACCAAGTACAGCTCTCCAGAGTTCTCTGTCCTGCTGGAGTATGGGCCACCTACTACAGCTCTCCAGAGTTCTCTGTCCTGATGGAGTATGGGCCACCAACTACAGCTCTCCAGAGTTCTCTGTCCTGCTTGAGTATGGGCCACCAACTCCAGCTCTCCAGAGTTCTCTGTCCTGCTGGAGTATGGGCCACCAACTACAGCTCTCCAGAGTTCTCTGTCCTGCTGGAGTATGGGCCACCAACTACAGCTCTCCAGAGTTCTCTGTCCTGCTGGAGTATGGGCCGCCAACTGCAGCTCTCCAGAGTTCTCTGTCCTGTTGAAGTATGGGCCACCAAGTACAGCTCTCCAGAGTTCTCTGTCCTGCTGGAGTATGGGCCACCAACTACAGCTCTCCAGAGTTATCTGTCCTGCTGGAGTATGGGCCACCAACTACAGCTCTCCAGAGTTCTCTGTCCTGCTGGAGTATGGGCCACCAACTACAGCTCTCCAGAGTTCTCTGTCCTGCTAGAGAGTGGGCTCTCTTTTTTCTCTGCCATTCTCTCCAATACATCCTGAAAGTCCACCGTCACTTTAACTCTCTCATCACTTACTTAACACATCGCATGCCTAAAGCAAAGTCGATTAATGACAACCTATAAATATTTAATCTCTTCGCGTTTCATGTTTTCAAAACCCTCCCTACTCTCACAACATACCGGATATTTAATACGAAACAAACAGAATTTAAACACCAACAGTTTAATCCTAACCCATAAATAACTGATTAAATCAAAGCCTAGTAACCCTAAACCTCCACCTCCACGCTATGATCAACACCAACTCGATACATCCAATCAAATTAAAAACGTGATTTTGATTTCAGAACCATTTTTACGTGAAGCTATTTCAGTAATGTAACGTAGCACACAGGCAACGATTTTTCGAGAATGCTACATTTTTTATTGCGTACAATTCAGATTACAATATGATGTTTTAAATTTCTTTAAAAAACTTGATTTCTATATTCCGAAATTTGAAGCTATTTGCATTGAAATATGTCTGCTATTCGTATTATTAGTTAAACCGTGTAGTTGATCTAAGGAGGAATAGCGGGCCATATCAGATCTGATAGTGTGTGTGTGTGTATTTGTTTGTATGTCAATGCCCATGTTCCACCAATCAATGCCCATGTTCCCCAATGCCCATGTTCCACCTATCAATGCCCATGTTCCTCCTATCAATGCCCATATTCCCCCTGTCAATGCCCATGTTCCTCCTATCAATGCCCATATTCCCCCTGTCAATGCCCATGTTCCTCCTATCAATGCCCATATTCCCCCTGTCAATGCCCATGTTCCCCCTGTCAATTCCCATGTTCCTCCTATCAATGCCCATATTCCCCCTGTCAATGCCCATGTTCCCCCTGTCAATGCCCATATTCCCCTTGTCAATGCCCATGTTCCTCCTATCAATGCCCATATTCCCCCTGTCAATGCCCATGTTCCCCCTGTCAATGCCCATGTTCCTCCTATCAATGCCCATATTCCCCCTATCAATGCCCATGTTCCCCCTGTCAATGCCCATATTCCCCCTATCAATGCCCATATTCCCCCTATCAATGCCCATGTTCCCCCTGTCAATGCCCATATTCCCCCTGTCAATGCCCATGTTCCACCTATCAATGCCCATATTCCCCCTGTCAATGCCCATGTTCCTCCTATCAATGCCCATGTTCCTCATATCAATGCCCATGTTCCTCATATCAATGCCCAGGTTCCCCCTGTCAATGCCCATATTCCCCCTGTCAATGCCCATATTCCTCCTGTCAATGCCCATGTTCCTGTCAATGCCCATATTCCCCCTGTCAATGCCCATGTTCCTCATATCAATGCCCATGTTCCTCCTATCAATGCCCATGTTCCTCCTATCAATGCCCAGGTTCCCCCTGTCAATGCCCATGTTTCTGTCAATGCCCAGGTTCCTCCTGTCAATGCCCATATTCCCCCTGTCAATGCTCAGGTTCCCCAATGTCCATGTTCCTCCTGTCAATGCCCAGGTTCCTCCTGTCAATGCCCAGGTTCCCCCTGTCAATGCCCAGGTTCCCCAATGCCCATGTTCCTCTTGTCAATGCCCAGGTTCCCCCTGTCAATGCCCAGGTTCCCCCTGTCAATGCCCAGGTTCCTCCTGTCAATGCCCAAGTCCCCCCTGTCAATGCCCAGGTTCCCCAATGCCCATGTTCCTCTTGTCAATGCCCAGGTCCCCCCTGTCAATGCCCAGGTCCCCCCTGTCAATGCCCAGGTTCCCAAATGCCCATGTTCCTCCGGTCAATGCCCAGGTTCCCCAATGCCCAGGTTCCCCCTGTCAATGCCCAGGTTCCCCAATGCCCAGGTTCCCCCTGTCAATGCCCAGGTTCCCCCTGTCAATGCCCAGGTTCCCCCTGTCAATGCCCAGGTTCCCCCTGTCAATGCCCAGGTTCCCCCTGTCAATGCCCATGTTCCTCCTGTCATACCCATGTTCCTCCTGTCATACCCAGGTTCCCCCTGTCAATGCCCAGGTTCCCCCTGTCAATGCCCAGGTTCCCCCTGTCATACCCAGGTTCGCCAATGCCGACGTTCCTCCTGTCAATGCCCAGGTTCCCTACACACAAACAATGTACTCACTTGATACCGCTCTTGGTCCACGACACGACGTACTGGGCGTCCGGGTTGCTGTTTGGCCGCACCTCACACGGTAGCACCTGCTGCCCCCCGAGGTTGGCGCTTTTGGTCACGGTGGGGTACATGCTGTGTTGGTTGCCCATGGCTAGACCTGGAGGAGAGGATAGAGGGGGGAGTTAGTGGCGTCAGGGATGGTGTTCTAAGTGAATTTGTCGTCATGGTGGATGGGTTGTGTTTGACCAGAGGCGTAGCGACCCTTCCCGGCGCCCGGGGACAAACTTTCGATTTGCATCCCCCCTCAAGATTTTTCGACTTGCACCCCCCCCCTCAAACTTTCGATTTGCACCCCCCCTCAAGATTTTTCGACTTGCACCCCCCCCCCCTCAAACTTTCGATTTGCACCCCCCCCCCTCAAGCTTTCAATTTATTTTTCCAACCCATTTTGGCGCCCCCTAAGGTCGGCGCCCGGGGACATATGTCCCCCCTCACCCGCCCCACCCCCCCCCCCCCATCGCTACGCCTCTGTGTTTAAGAGAATATGTTGTCTAATTGATTGTGTTGTCTTAATGATTGTGTTGTCTTTGTGTGTGTTGCCTTTATTATTATGTCGTATTTGAAAATATGTTGTTAACGTGATTGTATAGTCACAGTGAATGGGTGTCTGTGTGATTGTGTCGTAATTGTAAATGTGCTGTCTTTATTAAATGTGCTATCTTGGTAACTGTGTTGTCTTAGTGATGACGTTATATTTGATAATTGGCTTAGAGAACTTAGACCGACACAATTGTTTACAATATTCATTATTTCCCACAACACATATTTACAATTTTAAAGTATAATTCTTTATCAAATGTAATACATTGTATAGTCACAAAAATTCACGTGGTGTCAAATTAATAATCAAAAGACCCCTTAAAAAACTTCACTAAAATTAATCTTCCTTAAATATCTATCCCAAATCTTGACAGCATTTATTTTATACAAGCATTTTGAAAACAGCCAAGAACATTGTTCTTTCATTAACAAGGGGCTGTAAAATCTATTTTAGAGTTCGAGAGTTGAAATCCTAGGTATTAAGAGGCAGAATATTTGATCTGTTCTTCTTATACCATACCCGCACTCCATCACCACCTTCGGATCATATCTTCTCCTTATCCCGCATACAACAAAAACAACCCTTGCACCTACACCCCCACCTCCATATACACACCTACACCCTTCCTCTCCATAACCTTCACCCCTCCTTCCCCACCTCCACCTACACCCCACCTCCCCATACACCCCCACCTCAACATACACCCCCACCTCCCCATACACCCCACCTCCCCCTACACCCCACCTCCCCATACACCTACATCCCACCTCAACATACACCCCCACCTCAACATACACCCCCACCTCCCCATACACCCCCACCTCCCCATACACCCCCACCTCCCCATACACCCCCACCTCCCCATACACCCCCACCTCCCCATACACCCCCACCTCCCCATACACCCCCACCTCCCCACCTCCCCATACACCCCCACCTGCCCAAACACCCCCACCTCCCCATACACCCCCACCTCCCCATACACCCCCACCTCCCCATACACTCCCACCTGCCCAAACACCCCCACCTCCCCATACACCCCCACCTGCCCAAACACCCCCACCTCCCCATCTCCTTCAAATCGAAACCCGATCCCGTAGTCACAACGAGAGTCGCATTCTTCAAGTCTCGCGCGGCGTCCAAATCACGTCACAGTCTCGCGATTTATCGCCGTGCACGTGCACTGGCACGTGCTAATTCATCCAATCGTCAACCGCCTCACCTCGCTAGGATCTGTAGTCAGGGGCGTGCAGTACCACGAACTAACAAACAAACAGTGCAACGCGACTCACAGACGAACAAACAAACAGTGCAACGCGGGATACAGACAAACAAAGAAGCAAACAGTGCCACGCGACACAGAGACGATCAAACAAACAGTGCAACACGACACACGGACGAACAAACAAACAAACAGTGCAACGCGACTCACAGAAGAACAAGCAAACAGTGCAACGCGAGATACAGAAGAACAAACAAGCAAATAGTGCAACGCGAGATACAGAAGAACAAACAAGCAAATAGTGCAACGCGACTAACGGACGAACAAAAAACGGTTCCACGCGACCCACAGACGAACAAACAAATAAACAGTGCAACACGACTTACAGAAGAACAAACAAGCAAATAACGAACTAAGTTCATTGACCTTAATTTTAAAAAAAAATTATTATAGTAACATATATCACTTTCACTCGGTATTTAAGTATGTCTGGAATGTCGGTCTAAAGTTACCATGACGACGCTTACACGAGCTCCCGCCTCCATTACTGAGGTACAGATGAGATAAATGGTGAGAAATTTGACAAGACAAGGTGCATGGATGTGAGCGATGTCAAGCTTCTACAAAGTATGCCGCACGTGTTTACCTTACACGTGCTTCAAATGTGGCATGACATAAATAACATCATAACCAGGTTCAACACTAAAAAAAAGTTGACGTTAAACTAGAAATATGGTGTTGTAAGATAGGCGCCTTGTTGGTGAGTATTGAAACTGAGAAAGCGATTACTATATTCATGTTTAAAATCAACTTTTAAATAATATTCTATATCATTTTTTAATAATAGAGAAGGGGATTTAGATCTAGTATTGTATTTGTATTTACACTTCTAGTACTTTGTTTATAAATTAGAATCGGATATTTTATGCTTTTAACTTTTGAAATAATATATCTGTCTGATTCTTCATATTATATTTAAATTTGTCGCAAAGTCTTGCTTTAAGTTTAATCTTTAATTTTTCAAACGCGGAAGTCTTTAGCTTATCATTTTTTTTTTAAATTTACATTTTTAGTTATTGAAAAAACATTAATAGATACGTATGGTGTATGATTTATTTCGGCAGCCTTTAGAATTTTTTCTTTTTTTTTTTAGAGACGGCGTGATTGGTAACTCTAAAGTTCTGAGTTCGGATCCCGGGCAGACGAGGCTTATTAGCGGGACAGCATCCCATCTAGAGAGGAAACTTCAAAATATATTTATTAAAAGAAACTACTGCCTTGTAGATTTTTCTTAGATGGACATAAAAGATGAGAAGTCTGAGGACAGAGTCAACAAGAAAATCCCGTCCAACATTAAAATAAAGAATGATAAAAAAAGGAAAATATTCATTAACCAAACACCTGAATACGAATGTCGAATTAACGTTCCTTAAGGTTGTTCTGACATTCTCAGCCAGCCATTAACCCTATCCCCCCCCCCCTCCCAAACCCAACTAACGACAATTTTCCCATATCAAATTCCCACATAACCAAATGTTTTTCTCAGAACTGCCTACCGTGAAAACAAAACAACACCTATTGACCGCAAGTAAACAAACACAAAAATCTAAACACGACAATTCAACCACACGGGCCCTACAAATCTTTAGGTAAAAAATGTCTCATTCTTTGTTTGTTTTAGTGCTCCAACATCCCTATTCTTCAGCTTTTAACCGCACACAAAAGCCGGTCCGCGCATGCATTATGCAGCCGGAAACACGACCGGCTTCTGAATATGAAATTAATCATCGCCATAGCAAGGCGGATGTTTGAAGAAACTACTTCCGTTTTGTTTGGGGGTCGGCGTGTGTTGCTTGCGCGACGCCCCACCAAAAGGGAAGGGGGAAGATTGCACGCCGTATTTCTATAGGTGCTGTTTGGTGCATACACCGAAGTGCCGGTCGTTTTTTATGTGCCGCTGCCGTGTGCCGCACAAGTGCGTTATGAATGTATGGGGTTATGGGTATAAAGCGACAGCACCGGTACATTTTTTAAAGTCACTTGACTTTATACTTTAGACCGATTTTTTTATAACAAATACATATGACAATCAGAAAATAAACCGGGAGTGATCTCCCCTAAACTTTCTCGAATATTCTTATATAACTTGGAATGTAGACATGATTTTTAATTACTTAAACTTTTAAAAATAGAATAGAATCTCATAGAAAAAACATTGCGCACCAAACAAACGCCGAAACAAAATGTGCATAATAGTGCGCAATATTATTAGTACTTTAAAAATTTACATTAGTTTTTTGAGAAATCGGAAGTAGCGTAAATTACTACTTCCGGTCAACGGAAATTACTAAAAATTTAAGAGAAGGTAGAGAATTAGATCTTTTACTTACATGTGAAATTTCATTTATCTATCTGAAATAGTACTCAAGTTATAGGCTTTTGAAAAATTCAAAGTAGGAAAAGTACCACTTCCGGTTATCGGAAATCGCTCAAAAGTTGATACGGATCTACGATTTTGATAAAATAGTTATATATGAAATTTCATCAACATAGCTGTAACGGTACTCAAGTTATCGTGTTTACACACAGACACACAGACACACAGACACACAGACACACACACACACAGACATACGGACAAGATTGCAAAATTATGTTTTTCCGTATCAGTGAGGTGTAAAACGTCGAGATTTGTAAAAATCTCGATTTTTTTGCACGATTACAATACTTTCTCTATACTACGTATATACGAGAAAGTAAAAAGCAAACAAAAATAAACCGGGAGTGATCTCCCCTAAACTTTCTCGAATATTCTTATATAAAATAACAGGGGATGGGAACTCGGGCTATAGACATGATTTTTTATCCATTTTAAATACTTAAAGTTTTAAAAATAGAATAAAATCTCGTAGACAAATTAATTGCACACCAAGTGAACGCCAAATAAAAAAGCGCATAATATTGCGCAATATTATTAGTACTTTTAAAATTTACATTAGTTTTTTGAGAAATCGGAAGTAGCGTAAATTACTACTTCCAGTCAACGGAAATTACTAAAAATTTAACAGAAGGTAGAGAATTAGATCTTTTACTTACATGTGAAATTTCATTTATCTATCTGAAATAGTACTCAAGTTATAGGCTTTTGAAAAATTCAAAGTAGGAAAAGTACCACTTCCGGTTATCGGAAATCGCTCAAAAGTTGATACGGATCTACGATTTTGATAAAATAGTTATATATGAAATTTCATCAACATAGCTGTAACGGTACTCAAGTTATCGTGTTTACACACAGACACACAGACACACAGACACACACACACACA